TTTTGTGTTTTGGAGACTAGCTTCTTGAGTTCTTTGTATATTTTGGAGATCAGCCCTCTGTCAGATGTGGGGTTGGTGAATATCGTTTCCCAGTCTGTGGGCTGGTGTTTTGTCTTGCTGACTGTGTCCTTTGCCTTACAGAAGCTTCTCAGTTTCAGGAGGTCCCATTTATCAATTGTTGATCTCAATGTCTATGCTACTGGTCAGGAAGCGATCTCCTGTACCAATTAATTCAAGGATATTTCCCACTTTGTCTTCAAATAGGTTTTGTGTGGCTGGATTTATGTTGAGGTCTTTTATCCATTTGGACTTAAATTTTGTGCATGGCAATAGACATGGATCTATCTGTAGTCTTCTACATGCCAGCATCCAGTTTTTCCAGCACCATTTGTTGAAGATGCTTTTTTATTCCATCATATAAATTTATCTTCTTTGTCAAAAATCAGGTGTTCGTAGGTGTGTGGGTTTTCAACTCTATTCCATTGGTCTACCTGTCTATTTTTTTTCATCTACCCAAAACAAGTACATTCATACAACAAGGACATCTGTTCAACAATGTTCATAGCAGCACTATTTGTAATAGCCAGAACCTGGAAGCATCCTCGATGCCCCTCAACCAAAGAATGGATAGATAAAATGTGGTACATTTACACAATGGAGTACTACTCAGAAGGAAAAAAACAAAACAAAACAGTGGAATCTTGAAATTCGCAGGCAAATGGATGGAACTAGAAGAAAACATTCTGAGCAAGGTAACCAAAAAGACAAACATGGTATGTACTCACTCATATGTGGATTTTAGACATAGAGTAAAAGATTACCAGCCTACAATCCACACTGCCAGAGAAGCTAGTAAACAAAGAGGACCTTAAGAGAGACATACATAGTCCCCTGGAGAAGGGGAAAAGGGACAAGATCTCCTGAGCAAATTGGGATCATGGGGGAGGGAGGAGGGAGCTAGGAGAATGAGAAGGGGAGAAGGGGAGGGGTAAGGAAGACATGAGGGATCAGAAAGGTTGAGTCAAGTGAAGAATAAAAGAAAATGAGAAAGGAGATACCATAATAGAGGGAGACATTTTAGGTTTAAAGAGAAATCAGGCACTAGGGAAATGTCTGGAGATCTACAAAGATGACACCAACTAACAATCTAAGCAACAGAGGAGAGGCTACCTTAAATGCCCTCCCCTGATAATGAGATTGATGATTGATTTATATGCCATCCTATAGCCTTCATCCAGCAGCTGGTGGAAGTAGAAGTAGACACCCACAACTAATCACTGAACTGAACTGGAATCCAGTTGCAGAGAAGGACGAGTGGAGTGATGAGCAAAGGGGTCCAGACCAGGCTGGAGAAACCCACAGAAACAGCTGACCTGAACATCGGGGAACTCTTGCTCCCCAGACTGATAGCTGGGAAACCAGCATGGGACTGATCCAGACCCCAGGAACTCAGGTGTCAATGAGACCTCAGAAATCTATGGGGCCTCTTGTAGTAGATCAGTACTTATCCCTAGCATAGGTGTGGACTTTGGGAGCCCATTCCACATAGAGGGATACTCCCTGAGCCAAGACACACGGGGGTGGGCCTAGGCCCTATCCCAAAGGATATGACAGATTCTGATGATCCCCTATGGAAGGCCTTACCCTACCTGGGGAGCAGAAAGGATATGTGATAGGTAAGGGTTTTAGTTGGGGGGGGGGGGGGAAGGGAGAGGGAACTGGGATTGACATGTAAAACAATCTTGTTTCTAATTCAAATAAAAAATCTGAAAAAAAATAATAATAAAGTTACATGGAAGTTTTTAAAAGGAAGTTGAAATATTTTGAAGCCTAGTGGAGAAGCCACATTGTTAATGGAGGAAATTACCTGCAAAGGGAGTTCTAAGAGTACTAGGGTAAGAACTCAATGTTGGACTCAGGTCTTAAGGGTTCAATCAAATCTATTACACAGAACCAAAGTGAATGAGCAACACTACATCAGCTTGTACACAGATGCTTTATTTGGATGTCAATAGATTTCAACATTGTCTGCAAGATTCTCTTACAATGCCAAGTTTTCTCATATATTAAAAAAACTCAATTTAGTCAGTGTAATTGCCGTATTAATGTGAAAACCTTACAATAAAATGCAGTATGGTATGTGTGTAGTCAGTTTCCATGCATGTATGGCTGCTACCTGTATGCCTGGCATCTTCAGAAAACTGAAGAATCCAAATGAACAGTAAAAAAGATGACTTAAGATGCCTGACATGTTTATGATTACAAATCTTGCAAAAAAAAAAAAAAAAGCAACAAAGCAGTTAACTTGAGGATTCAACCAACACCAACCCAAATATGTACTACATTCCATAAGTCCAGGCTTATATACAATATATTAACATTTGTGTTAACTTAATGCTCAAGAAAAATTATGTTTCAAAATATGTAGCATATCTGAGATACTTTACTTTGGCAATGGGGGACTATTGTATCCAATGCAGCTAAAGACTACATTTTTTAAAGGAATTATGTGCTATTATCACCCCAAAGTAACTGAAATGATATATATGATTTTTCACAATCATTGGTTTTACAAACATTTCTGTGAGAAGTTCATTAATTAGAAAAAATCAACATATTTAACATGCTAAGAAGATTCAAATTTCCTTACCTATTAGTTATCAAGAAGGCATAATCTTAGTACCACCACACATATTCTTTACTTCTCACTAACATATAGTATGCAAAAACTAGCAATTGGATTTAAAGCTTAAAACCTTATTAGGTCTACTGTTGAAGAATTAGACATTAAAATATTCAGTAGTCCCATTTCTATTAACAGATAAATAGATTTTTTAAAATCTTAAGCTGTTTTGTTTGGTTTGGTCTTGAGGCATAGAGTAGTGTTTTGGTCTTTGTAAGAATCTGCTTGGTAATAGTTGAATCCATTAAGTTAACTTGAGAACTTGCCATCATTTGCTTATCTTTTCACACAGTGCAAGTGGTGGTCGCTCTTTCCATCTCTCATAGCAGCAAGCCGATTCTGCTACTTACTATAGCAGCATACTTCAGGAGTGGAGAGGGAGAGAGTGTGTCAATTATAAATAATTCAAACTACAGTGTACAATTCTATTTGCCTGTCAGTGTTTAGGTTGACAGAACACCATTATATGTCTCAAAAATTAGATAAAATCTCTACCACATAAGCAAAGACATTCTTTCAAAAAGAAATAAAATAAGTGCAAACACCTAAACAGGCAACTGAAGCAACTGTTGTAACCTGGAAACACAAAACATTTATAAAAGGACAAAGTATTTGTATAAATAAAAGATAATATTTTCTAATTCTGAAACATTGAGTAAATACAATAAACTTTCTAAGTGCAGACTGTTTTAGGGAGCAGGGTACCATATTGTCTTTTAAACAAAATGAAAATTTCAAACACATACACAAATCACCAGATTAATTTATGACCTCCAATATAATTTAAAAAGAAAATATTAAATTATTATTTAGTACATTTTAGAACTACTTTATAACCAACATGATTTAAAGGATATAGTGCAATATTTAGGTAGATGTGACATACAGTATAGATATTGTATTCTTTGCAGCTATAACTTAACTATTTCATACTTGAAAGTCAAACTTATTCTTGACTATGTTAGCTGTAATGACAAGGAACAACACTGGCTTCTAGACACCCTGTGTATATATATATATATATACACACACACATAAGTATATATATATATATATATAAATATCTACATTTAAGCTTTAAAAATGAAAATAAATTATAAAAACAGACATCTTTCTAATTTACACAGTTTTCCTGCTCCTACATACTGTACAATACATTCAACAGAATTCTCAGCTCTTCTGAGACTTATGAAGAAATACTGACTCTTTACTAGTAAAAAAAGACCACTTTCAATGCTTTTTTATTACTATGCTCAAATAAATATTCTTAACACTGTAGTTAATTTCATTGTTTCTGAAAAATACCAAAAATTAGTAGTGCAACTTTCTAGCTTCCTCGAGACTGCTTCTCATGAGTTTCTTTATAAACGGTCATCTAAGTAAATCAGCACGCATGCAAAAGTACTCATAAGCCCCCATGTGTCCTAAACAGAGACTAACTTGTTTATAACGACTACAGCCTGGAGAAAGTAGCGACATATATCCTGTAAAGAAATTGTGTGAAAATTTGCTTTGGAATACCCATGAACATCCTTATTTTCCCACTTTGTTCTTTAAAAACAAATTTTAAAACTCTCATTTCTTAAAAAGTAAATAATAAATTTTCCTACCCCTTACTTTAAGTGGCTTATTAGGTTTTTTTGCCTGACCAATACAGAAAAAAATGCGAACCATTTTAGGGATGTATTAAATCCTTTAAAAGAATTAACTGAGACAAATTTCACTGCAACCTAATTTGGCAGAGAACACAGTAGGGGTGGTAGGTCATTTTTTTCAGCGTTAGTAACAATTAGAGTATTAGAGCTCTTGAAGTGCTGCTGGCAGCTGTGTAAGTGCTCAGGTATCTTCTTGCTTGTTCAGTCATGATAAGTTGGTCTTCTGTCTTCCCATATACCACTGTTTCCCATTCACAGTTTGACTATGAAGGAAATATCAATAGTGATGCAAAAATTAGTAAAATTAACTACCCAAACCACTTCATAATTAGAACATGTACATGAGTATATGTATGAGTGCATGTGTGTGTGTGTGTGTGTGTGTGTGTGTGTGTGTGTGTGTGTGTGTGTGTGCCCATGTGCGTATGCATGGACATAGCATGCAGCACAACATATGTGGAAGAATCAAAGGACAAATTTCAGGAGTCGGTCCTCACACTTTACCATGTGGACTGCAGAACCAAACCTAGGTTGGTAGCAACACCTTTATCCACTGAGCCATATTGTCAGTCTGCATAACTAGACTTTTACAAATCAATTATTTTGACTAGGAATTTTATAAGTAAGTGCTATAAAATGTTTTGATAACAATATTATAACTTTTAAAATGAGATGCTATATTTTAAACACATACTAAAATGTTTATGATCAATTTTGTATAATTATTGTAATTACATATATTGATTGCTCACTGGCCTATGGTGACAGTATAATAGTTTTGTTTCCTTTTTGTTTATTTGCTTGTTTGTTTGTTTGTTTTTCAAGACAGGGTTTGGTTTCTCTGTGTAGCTTTAGAGCCTATCCTGGCACTCACTCTACAGACCACGCTGGCCTCGAACTCATAGAGATCCGATTGCCTCTGCCTCCCTAGTGCTGGGACTAAAGGTGTGCACCACCAACACCTGGCTCAGTATAATAGTTATGTTCCCAACATCTCCCCACAAATCAAATGAATCATAACAGGAAAAGATATAATTAATCTCTTTTGTCCCCAAATTTTGCAAAAGTTTTAAAAAGAGGAGCTGGAGGTGTAGTTCATTGGTAGAGTATTTATCTAGCATGTGAGAGACTAGAGTTTGGTCCCCAGTACCAAGAAAAAAAGAAAAGACTTAGAGGGAAGATGTAATGTCAAAAAGTGAACTACGTGTGTACCCTTTTTGTTTTCTTCCTTGTCAAAGGATAAAGATATCTATATTATATGTAAGAATTACTACATAATGAACTTTCCTAAGAAGCCCTACATTAAACACTGAGAATTCAAAGCATTTTAAATCAATTAAGGGAATGCATTGTGTCACTCTCTGAAAGCTATGGCTCAAGACAGACAGGTGGCTATATCTGATTGCCAAAGATATTCTCAAGGAATGCTTGAATGTCAGGGAAACTATTCTGCAGTCAGTTCAGCATAAAGAAGAAATCTTCCTCTCCACAATTCATATTCTTTGGGCAAACTCCTAAGATAACAGGATAAGAATTTCACCAGCCTTCATTTACATCTACTTACTGGCCATAGAGAAATGGCGGAATTTTTTTTTGTTTTATAGCTTCTGGTCTACATAGTTTATTGGGAGCCATTACAAAATTTCTCTGAAAATGCTTCCAACTACTTACCATTTCAGAATAACAAATGTGGCTATTCATTTTTATTTTACAGGTAAAGAAGTTCTAGAAGTGAATTTAAGTATCATTACATATACATATACACATACATATATATATTGATTAAGGAATCATGAAAGGGCCAGGCATGATGGCACAAGTCTGTATCCAGGATTTAGGAATCCGAAACTACAGGACTATGATTTCAAGGTCAGCTACATAATGAGATGAGATCCTGTCTTAAAACAGCAACAACAACAACAAAACCCTAAAAATCTCTGACTACAACTCCAATTGTATAGCTGGTATGTGCACTGATGATGTGTCTCTCTCAAACCCAAACCTGCTTTCAGTGACAAAATAATGATTTTTTTCATTGCATTTGTCAATTTTAAACTCTAAAAGAAAAAGTATAACTTGTGATCGGTAAGTTTAAAGTGATCATTGACTAAACAACAACAAAAATCACTAAAAAAAAAAACTTATAAATCCATACCTGAAGATTCTTTTCCAATTTGACAACTTTAGAAGTGTTAGGGTTTGTTTTCTTTTTAGTAAGTGTATATGTTTTGTTGGCTGAATTTATATCTTGTTTTTCAGGAGTCAAGTTGCACCTATTGTCATGTATTTCCAATAATGGTATCATTAATAAAGATGTTGTAAGTATATTTTCTGACTAAGAGAAAAAAGAAAGAGGAAAATAACTAATTCAAAAGTAGAGACAAGAGACTACTGAGTAAGTGGTAATGGAAGTCCTGTTAATTTTCCTCTTAAGAAGCATTTGGCTCTGATGAAATATCTAGTGCTATAGTAATATCTTGGTAATTACACAAAATAAATCTCTAGTGCTATAGTACTATTTTGGCAATTAAAATTTAAAGCTTTGTGAACCACCATTTTTTGACATCATATAGAAGACTAACTTCTCTCAAATTAAAATACGTTTAAAAATAATATATCCTTCATAGATAATAGATTCTCTCTGAATTAGGCAAAATAATCCTAAATTTTCTGTGACTCTCCTTTAAATGATCTGGCCATGCAATGACTATGATATGCAATGACTATGAACCACCATGACTTAAGACAGCCATTTAAAACCATGTATGAATTCTTTACAAACCTGCATGTCTGAAATGTCTTCAGTTAGCAGCTGAGTGCCTGGTTCTTCTTTGTCCCAGCTATCTAAGGCTAGTGATTTTCTGACTTTCTTCACAGATGCAGAATGCTAAGAAAAATAATTTACAAGGTAACTTTATATCCAAGTCTCTTGAACATGATAAAAAGACTTTCATTAACAGTAATACTGAAAAAGCTGACATGGAAAAACACACCCACAATCACAGCTCTCAGAAAGCGCAGGCAGGAGATTTGCAAGTTTGAGGACAGCTAGAGTTACATAAAGACCCTCCTCTAACTAACTATGAAAATAAATATATAAACAATGCTCAAGATTACCTCTTGCTTGCAGCTTTTGTAAGCAGGTTCATCTTCCTCTTTGAGGAATATGTCTGTTCCAGTTTCTTCTTTTAAAACTTCTCGAATGTCTTCTTCCAAGAAGGCAAGTGGCTGGGACTAAATTATTTTTTTAAAGGTTTTAAAAGGCAATTGCCAGAAATTGCTTTTTTCTCTCTCTGTATATAAAAATCTGTCTTTTTGGCCTCTCAAGACAAGAAGCCTGACAACCTACGTTCCATCCCTGGAGTCCATGGTGGAAGAAGAGAATTAATTCCCCAAAGCTGTCCTCAAGAGCATCATCGCATGTGTACACCCACAATAATAATAAATAGTTGGGCTTTGTTTTTTAACTGTCTTTTATACTTTTCCAATATTAACAAAATTATCTTCTACATGTTATAAATATATAAATTACCTAATCAGTTTATAGCAAAAATAATTGTTTAAAATATTAGTGAATATTAATTTTAATGAGCCACCCCCTAAATTTACTAAAAATAGAACAAAATTTAAAGCATCATCGAAGAAACCAAATTTAAGTCACATTTTTATGCCTAATAAACTTATAAAATATCTGCATATGTCTAGAATGTTCTGAGCTTTTCTGAGGTATTTTAAATATAACAATATGTATGAGAATACAAATATGTAAAGTACTTTACAGATGTAGTAAGTCATGAACTATTGCTACCACAGCTACAAGAATAATAGCAGTAACAACTAAGTACTCACTATATGGAAACTAGAGACAAGCCCCTTAAGTTGTATTGTCTTTTAGTTCACAATAAAGAACCAGGGTATGCTTAATAACTTGTACATAGAAGAGAAAACTGAACTTCAAGAAGGATCCCTGACCCTTTAGTTTCCTAAGCAGCATGAAGTGATTAGATATATCAAAACATTAATTCTACTGCAGTGAAGCTACTAAATATATGTTGTAACATTAAGAAAAAAAAGCATGCCATTAACAACTGCTTTCTTCTAGTTAACATGAGAACATACAAACTTAAAATGAGTCAAACAAAGGGTTATTTACAGGCCAAGAAAGATTAACACAAATTTATATTCAAAAATTAAGAGATAAAATTTTGTTTCAGTTTCACTGAGCACTTTTTAATGCTAAAAATTCAAGATGGTAAAAACCACTTTTTCTTTAATTGAAACTAGGAAAGTGCTTGAGAGTAAAGAGTACACATACCACAATTTTAAGAGGGCCATATTTCTTTTCCTGAGCAGCAAGTGCATTCTTAAATGGAGTAGGAGTTCTTGGCGTTGTACCCAATATAGATCTTCTAATAGTAGGTGTTCTAAACCTAGTCAATCATTCAGATATTTGAATTATTATCATAATATGAGTATACATATGTTAAGGAAGGCAAAGCCATGCAAAATCATAAACTACATTTTTACATATATGTTTTTAAAAGCATTACAGAGATATTTAAAATATGGTTGCCTAAAGTCATTTATACTCTAATAATTTGTAAGAGAAAAAATTACTTAGAAAAAGTACTAAGAATATTTTGCTTGAAATAAAAACTTTATGCCACATTTAGCCAGTTTTCAGTATTCTACAGGAATAAAACAAGAAGTTGTGACTTTAAAAACAGTAACAACAAACTTCCAAGTTCTATAGACATAGAGATTATGTGATATGCCATTTACTTGAACAAAATGCTAACACACCTTTGACATTATGCTTCCTGCTCTCCCTAACGTAATTATTTAATGCAGACTCACCCTACATTTTCTTTTTGGTCTTTGGGAGTTGCTTCCTTCTGAAGAGGAGTTGTAATCAGAACTTTTTGCCCACAAATTGGGGTTGATGTAAACGAAGGGTTTTCTATATTAAGTTGTTCATTTCCAGGACATGTGTTAAAAAACTAAAAGGGGAAGAGAATTCACACACAATATTTTGGAACATCAAAATTCCTATACAAATATCAAACTGGTAAGACTTCTCTATTGCTTTAGGAAAAGATTTTCAATAATATTACATATACTTTCTACTTCATGGAAATTAAGCTCCCTAAAGGCAAGACATTTGTTTTGTTCACTGCTGCCTCCCAGAACTTAAACCACTTAGAAGAGGTTAGCAAAAAAAAAAAAAAAAAGAAAAAAAGAAAAAGAAAAAAAAAAAAAAAAGAAAGAAAGAAAAAGAAAAAGAAAAAGAAAAAGAAAAGAAAGAAACATTTGTAAGACCATTCATCTTATAAATGGTCAGGTTATATAATAGTACAAAAATTAAAACAAAACAGTATGCCATCTCCCAGGTTTGTACAAGAGTATAACTGAGAAAGTTAACTGTGAGCTGTTACTCATAAATAATGTTAAGTGTACTTTTCTTTGAGGGTATCTTGAACTAAGACTAGAACAATAGAGTGAGCATGGTGTGTGAAGCTGTAGTTCCAACTGCTCAGGAAGAACAAGCCCTAGGAAGGAACAGTGCTTGCCTATTGAAAGTTAAGTGTACAGCAAATCTGCCTGCCTAGAAGCATGGGTAGTTAAAGCAGATACTGAGAGTCCACTCTCTAAATTATACAGTGCACTAACTGAAACTTAACTTGCATAATATTATGAAATCCTAATATACTTTTGTCACTAGCAAACTAGAAGTGGTAATATGAAGAAGTGGAAATTACGTCAAGAGTACCACTTATAACTGCATCAACTCTGTCTCCTAATACTTGAATCACCTCACCAAGGATTAGCAATCAAATTCTTTCAAAGGATAAAATCCACATAACATGAGATATAAGCACCTTCAACTTTGATTCTTAGCATAGAATTTACTTCAGTAAAAATCAATAATGTATAAAGCTCTGGAAGTGAAAAACCTCATTTCCTTGGAATAAATCATTTTATTTCTAGGGGCCAGTTTCTGGAAGAGACTTACAAAGAAATGGGACTACATGACAAAGAAAACTTATCTTTTAGCTCCTGAAATTCTAGGGTGCTATAATGAAGATACTACATGTGAGATACTGAGCTCACCATTCTTATGTATACATTTAAACGTCTATCATTGTGTTAATAAAGCAACCAACTGCTATTAAAGACACTAAAGATCTAACTTAATTCATCTTGTCTACATTTGTAAACATAAATAAAAACATCAGTACCTGTGAAGGAGAAAATGGTAGTGTTTTCACTGGTGTGTGTTTTAATGCTGTATTACTGCCTTCATTGAATGAGCCATCACCAAGCTCGTTGCCTAGAGACTGACCCACTCGGATCCGTTTCTTCTTTCTGAGGATGGTTGGTGGAGTGCTAAACTTGACCACATTTGGGGATGTTAGAGGAATAGCTTCACTGTCTCCACCATTACAGCTGTTCTTTTTCCCTTCAAGTACAAGACTGACATTAAATTGACATTCCATGGCTCCTTCATTATGTTGAATTCGCATTAGTTTAACTGGAGTAGACTTGACAGGAGAAGCAGCAGCATCAGAAAGATCAAAACTGGTAACATCACTCCATGCTACGGGATCCTACAAAAAATTGAATTCTTAACTCATTAAACTATAACCTAATTAAATATGATCTGAACACAGGAAGATATTTTCTAAGAAATTTACTCATTTTTACCAGTAAAAATAAACTTTGTCTAAGCATCTCCATTTACTTAAGCAGGGTATTAGAAGAAAATATTATAATTTTTTATAATATCAATTTGGAATACTCCAAGATAATGTTTCATCTAATTTAGTAGCTAAAAATTTCTGGCAGAAAATTTTACTTAAAAAAAAAAAGATTATTTTAAGCTATTATTAAAAAGAACTAATTATACATAAAATCATTCTATTAAATAGGAAAATATTATAAAAGTCTATATAACCATTTGGTAATATGTATGGAACATATACTTTGATTTAGAAATTCAGTTTATCCAAGTATATAATTGTCATGAATTGACAACAAAGCCATACTAATTTTTATTGATGACACTGAAAATCTAGATGCTCTCTAAACACACAGTAACGGCAACACATTCAGTAAATAAACTGAATGCCATGTGATGCAATACTATAAAGCCTCAAAACTCAAGTTTAAAAAATGTATTTAAGATCCAGTCATTGTGACACATGCCTTTAATCCCAGCACTCAGGAGGCAGAGGCAGAAAGATCTCTGTAAATTCAAGGCCAGTCTGCTCTACATATGGAGCTCCAATGAGACCCTGTTTAAAAATTATATGTATGTTAAGAAACCAAAGGCAGACTCATAATATAAAATAAAAATATAACATGAATTATATGTATGTTTCTATGCATCAAATGATCAAGTCTAAATATATAGATTTAAATTTTCCTCTTTACAGTTTCTCTAGTTTAAAATATTCTAATGTACTTAAGTAGTTCATCTAATAAAGAATGAATTAAGTTTTTAATTCTAAAACATCTTTTTAAGACACATACTTGGGGAGGACTTAAACATTTAATTTTTTGCCAGAAACCTCTACAAAAGAGACCAAATTTAGGCAATGCTTAAAATTTAAGTTGGTAAATGTCTATTAAATATTAAACTAAGCTTCTAAACATGAGATTACATTATTAATTTCATAATTTCAAACTTACAGATTCAATAAGTTCTAGAGTCTCTGCAAATTCTGGGATGGTCTGTAGAGAAGACAATACAGCATTTGCTTCTACAGCTAGAAACTTTGTGGGTGAGTTCTGCTGAGCAGAAACAGTCTGATTTTCATCCATGCTATAAAACTCAGTAGTGTGTTCCTCAAGGTTATTCAGTGTGTTAGACATGCTATCATCCATGAGGAAACTACCAGACCAGCTAGAAAAGCTTCCGGGTTGCTAAAAGTACAAAAGAAATTTAAATATTATTTGCCATTCTCATTAAAGTCATGAATTTATTTTAAATAAAAAATTCCAATAACATACTTCATATCATTTTAGCTAAAAAGATATAGTACCCAATTCAGCATTTCTTCAATATTAGTATACAATGTTTCCACTAAATCTCACTCCTTGACTAGATTTCCTTTTTCTAAATAAATTTTAACTATAAAGTCACTGTTAATAAAATTAGCACTTACATATAACAAAGACCTGAAACCTGGCCTCATTTTCTTTTCAAACTTCATCCACAATTCCACTCACAACTCTCCTTTTATGCCTCCTTCTATGAGAATACCAAGCTTCCTTCCTTTCTTTCTTTTTCTTTTTCTTTCTTTCTTTTTTTAATAGTATAAGAGTCATTTAATTTTTTTTCCAGCAACCAAGAGTGACCTAATGCCTTGGAAAACCTCTTAGTGTCAAAGCTCAAGGAATCAGCATTTTTAAAGGCAAACCCAAACTTACATTGATTTAAGGTAAAGGTCAAACTAACCTCAGGGCATTTGTCTCTGGACAAACATAGTTATGTCAGCTATGACAATTGACTTTGATTTACACCTGTTTCAGTGACTTTAGTTTATGTTTAGCTTACACCAACATTAATTATTTTGATTAATACGTCTGGACCATGGTCAGGATCATGGAAATCAGAAGTGTGTGTTGGCAGAACAGACATGGCTGTAGTTGGGGTAGTGGACTGAGAAGCATCTAAGCAGACACAACATGGAGTCTGGACAAAATGGTATTATTTTGGCCACTTCAAGTATAGAACTAAAAGATGGTTAAGGGAAAAGTTTTGCTCAAGATACTATCTGGGCCTCAGTGGAGGAGGGGCTGAAGGGTCACTCCTAGGAAAGTGGGCTCACCTCCTGCCATGCTAAGGAGATGGTTAATGAAATACTATAATTTTCCTTCCCAGTATCCTCACTCCTAGTACAGTGGATTACCAGGCTGCAGTCGGACCGCTTCATAAGTCATCCAGCTTTTCCAGATTACCAGTAAACTGTATCTTCTCCTTTTCTTCCTCTGTCTGTGTTCTAAACATGCTTTCCCTAACACTGTGAGCTTCTTTTTGCCAAAGCAACCCACCAACACACATGTGCAGCTGCCTACTGCTGTGTGACAGATGCCTGCCTTCTTCTCTCCTCTATGCTCCTCCAGAAGCTGCTGAAATTACAGCTTGTATGACATGGAGCTGAGAATACCAAGCTTTTAACTCTGAAGAATGAATGATGTTCTTTTACTCTGAAGAGCCTTTTTACATACTATGGTTCTCTTTATCTAGAGCATTCCCTAACCCACCATCCACACAAAGTGCTAGTTTTGATTTAAGAAACAGTTTAATTATTAAGAAGTATACCATGTGACTGATAATGTACTTTCACCATTCTATTTATAATATTGCACTAATTCATCTATCTTGTTAATATATATAGTATACAATCTTCCTGTATTTCAAGACTGAATTTGGGACTGGAGAGATAGCTCAGTAGTTAAGAGTACTGGCTATTTAACTCTCAGCACCCACATGGCAGCCCAAAATCATGTGTAACTCCGGTTCCAAGGGTTCTAACATCCTCACACAGACATAAATGCAGGCAAAATACCAATGCACATAAAATATACTTCTGTTCAAGACTGACATCAAAAAGGACTTCTTCCAAGAACGTATTCTGACTGTGAATCTAAAGTACATATTTTTCCTATGTTCTTATAAAACTAAAAGATTTATTTCATCTTACTATATTCTATTGCTTATCTCAGTTCCCACTGCAGATTAAATATTCTGATATCAGGGGCTATACCAGTTTTCTTTCTCTCTTTAGAAATAACCCAAGCAATTTACTTATCTTGCAAGCCTAGTTTCCTGCTGTTATAATAATAAAACAAGGAAATTTTGAAGAGTCACAAAGAAAAGATAACTTGCAACATGTACAGTAATATTCAATAGACTTTCTGAAATATGAAAATGTTCTATATATTCAGCAACTCAGTATGGGAGCCAGCAGTTATATCTGCAAAATATGGCTGGTGCACATGAGTAATTTAAAATTTTATTTAAAATTAAATATAGCTAGTAGCAACCATATTTTTAAGAATGTACTGCCCATGCCAGGCATGGTGGTGCATGCCATTAATCCCAGCACTTGATGGGAGGCAGAAGAAGGAGGATCTCTGTGAGTTTGAGACCAGAGTAAGTGATGGATGGATGGATGGATGGACGATGAGATAGATAGATAGATAGATAGATAGATAGATAGATAGATAGATAGATAGATAGATAGATAGAAGAATAAAAAGAACATATTGCTCATTTTGGTTTCTACTATTTAAAAATCAGGGTTGGAGAGATGGCTCAGTGGTTAAGAGTACTTGCTTATCTTCTAGAGGTGCTGTGGAATGATCCTTCTGTACACTGTGAAAATGTGTTGCTTTCATTGATAATTTTTAAAAAAAGCTGATTGGCTGATAGCTAGTCAGGATTTTGGTGGCTGAAAGAATGCTGAAAAGAAGGGTGGAGTCTGCCAAACACAGAAAAAGCAAAACGGGAAGTTCATAAATGAGGTAAACCAGCTTCAGGGCAGCACATAGCTTAATAGAAATGGGTTAAGTTGTAAGAGCTGGCTGGAGACAAGCCTAAGCGATTGGTTGAAAATTTAAAATTAGTAATAAGTCTCTGAATGGTTATTTGGGAGTGACTGCTGGGACACAGAAAAACTCTGCCTGCTCAGAGGACTCTGGTTCAGCCACGTGTGGGCTCAAACCAGTTACATTTCCACTTTCAGAGGATCTCACACTTCTGACCTCTACAATTTACTCAGCCAAGCAAAGTATAATGGAATTCAGTAAAATAGTAGTCACTACTATCACACAACTGTTAAAAAAAAAACAAATAAATGTGTATGAAATCTTATGAAGTTTTAAAAAGAAGTAATTTTCTCCCTTTTAATATAAAATGTGAATTACTTTAGCTGGTATATTTTTCTTATTAAATGAGACAGGTTATGTTGCATCCTGAGCTAAGGTGTAGTGATATATTGTCTATGATTTAATAAAGCTTGCTTGGGGATCAAAATGCAAAACTAGTCACAGCCATAGAGCCAGGCAGTGGTGATATACACCTTTAATTCCAGCAGCCATACTAGTTAACCATAGAAGCCAGGTGGTGGCACACACTTTTAATCCCAGATCTCTGTGAGTTCAAGACCACCCAGGGCTTTACTCTGAGTGAATCAGCCAAAAAGACTAACAGAGCTCACACCTTTAAACCCTGCACTAGGGAGGTATAAAAGGAAGAAACATGGATCTCGTGTGAGATTTAGTTTCCAGACAGGGAGAACATTTGCCTCTGAGGATTCATGGAGACAGGATTGCACATTTCAGTGTGAGGTAGAAGTAAAAGCTAGTGGCTGGCTGCTTTGCTTTTCTGATCTTCAATGGCTTTATTAGATCATAAACAATATATCACCGCACTAAGGTACTGTTATTAGTTTTAAAATATTTATTCTTGGGGGGGGGTGCACGCCTTTAATCCCAGCACTCAGGAGGCAGAGGCAAGTGAATCACTGTGAGTTCAAGATCAGCTGGTCTACAGAGCAAGTTCCAGGACAATCTCCAAAGCTACAGAGAAACCCTATCTTGAAAACAAAACAAAAGAATATATTTATTCTTTGATAACATCATACATGTATACAATGTATCTTGGCCATTTCTACTCACTGTTCCCCTCTCTATCTCCCCACACCCTCCCAACATGCCTCTAACACTATTATTTTTAAAAAACAAAAATTGGGTCAGGCAGTGGTGGTACACACGCCTTAATCCCAGTACTCGAGAGGCAAAGGCAGGCGGAACTCTGTGAGTTCGAGGTCAGCCTGGTCTACACAGCAAGTTCCAGGACATAGGGCTACACAGAGAAACCCTGTCTCAAAAAATGAATAAATGAATAAATAAATACATAAATACATAAATACATAAATAATTGAACTGGAATGATGGCTCAGCAGCTAAGAGCACTGGCTACTCTTCCAAAGAATCTGAGTTTGATTCCTATACCCATATGGCAGGGTGTAACCATTTGTAACCCCACTTCTAGGGGATCTGACACCTTATTCTAGCCTCCTCAGGCCTCATGTATGTGGTACACAGATATACATACATGCAAAGCACCTGCGTACACATAAAATAAAATGAAAAATTAAAAATTTTAAATCTAAAAGTACTTGAAATTTTTCATAATTGTTTTAGTTTTTGTATTGAAGCACTGGGAACAAAGCTGGAGGTCAAACATAGGAAAAAGTTCCTACCATTGAGCTATATCACACTCCAAAAATGTCCAGAATGGCTTAAACATGACATAATAATCTATAAACAAGGACTCTCTAAGTGTAACTGTTTGCCACTTCTTTAGCAAAACTAAAATTAACATTAAAATAAGCATACTTCCAGTCTTCCTATTTACTGATGGTTTATAGTTTCAAAACAAAAACTGCCTTTCTTACAGTAAAAATCTCACCTACAATAATTAACATGTTATTTTAATCTCCTCTTAAATTATATAAGACAATACCATTTATTTCATGATTCTAGTTGAGCGAGTCAGTTTATTCTATCAGAGTGATGCTGACCATGTTTGCCCTCTCATTCAGTCTGAAATCAAGGAGAGGAAAAGGAAAAGCAACTTTTTTCAGTGCTGAGACTCAGTCTAAGATCTCATGCATATTAGACAAATGCTCTACCACTGAGCTGTAGGCCCAGTCTAAGAAAAACAATTCTCAAAATATAAAATACTACAGGTATCACTTTAAACATCTAAAATTCTCATCCAAGTATAAATGTCTATCTTTTTTCTCTAATCCATCTAGCATGGCCTGTTTAATTCTACCAGAATTTATATTATTTATATGAATTTAATACTCCTAGTTATTCTGACTAACCAAATTGAAGACATCCATATCAACCTTCCTTTGAAAGAGTTAGAGAATATAAAATCTAAATGTTCCCTTCTGCTGTTATTATTATTTTCTTGTTGTTTTATTTTGTTTTTGGAGACAAGGTTTCTCTGTATAGCTCTAGATGTCCTAGAACTCACTATGTAAACCAATCTGGCCTCGAACTCACTGAGATCCACCTGCCTCTGCCTCCTGAGTGCTGGCATTAAAGGTGTGCACCACCACCACCCAGCTTGTTATTATTACTTTTTCCAATTTATTGAATTCATATCCTAAATAAACTAAAACAATTTTTTCCAAGGAAAATAAAAGTAATTTTATAGCTTATAAATCTCTCTACTTATTACATTTCTCATTTTAGAAGCTTTTCCAATTTAATCCATCATTACATGTTATGTCAAGTTTTTAAAAGCCTAATACAATACATATACAAAAAAATACATATCAAAGATTTTCTCTAAGTCTCTAACATTTATGATTTAAAAAACATTTTTTAAGTATCCTAATATAGAACACTGTAAAACACTCTGGAAAAGATGTAAATCATAAGCAACCTCAAAACTGCAAATTAAAATGAGAAAAAAGTGTTTGTAGTAAAATATGAAGTCACACTGAAAAGACTCTACAACTAAGGAAAAGTATAAAAGAATTCATATGACAAAACTAGGACTCTGCATGTGGGAGAGGGGGGGGGGTAAGGGGGAAATGAGGGGGGATGGGAAGAGGGGTGGGATGGAGAACTGTGTTTGGAATGTAAAATGAATAAAAATAAATAAACAAGAAAAAAATTCATATGAACAACTAATAATGAAATACAAACGTATAAGCTCATTTCTTACAGATGGAAGCCTCTTTCTTCTAACTTCATTCTCAGCTGACATAAGAAGCAACTCAAGTTCCTTTATTTTTTTTTCCTTATCAGGATCTTCATCAACAAAGGGTTGCTAAAATAAGTTAAATAAAAGAAGAAAAAAAAAAAAACAGGCACTATCACAAATGCTTTAAAACAGTATTTCCCTTTTTATTTTCTTCTATGTAACCTATAATGAAGCTTAATGGTATTAAATCCAAGTCCTACTAACATTTTAATGCTACTAAATCAATGTGTCACAATATGTATGGAATTTAAAAAGGTACATGGTAAATATTTTCAACTTTGTAAAAAAAAAAATGGGGGAAACTTAAATGAACAAAAAAAAAGACATTATTTCAGGCATGGTAGTGCACACCTGTGATTCCCCTACTCTAGAAACAGAGAAGGGTTTCAAGCTTAAAGCTATCGTGGGCTACATAACACCCTATCTCAACAAAGCAAAAAGACAAGAAAAGAAACAGGGTAATGATACAGTTCAATTAGTAATTTGCCTACTGTGAAAAGACCTGGGCTGTATCTCCAGCACCAACTAAAATCATGCATGGTTAGCCACACCTGTAATCCCAACACTAGGAAGGTGCAGATAGGAGGACTACAAGTTCAAGGGCATTCTTTGGTATTTATCAAATCAAAAACAGTCTGGTATACATGATACTGTTACAGAAACAAATGAACAACAGCAAAAAAAAAAAAAAAAACTAACAAAAAAACATTGCATTAGCCATGTATCAAAAATGTACATCTGGAATATTTTGGATAATTACACTGTAATGTATTTTATACAATTCAGCAATTGTTTGAAAGATTTAAGCTACAATACTGAACAAATTACCACACTGGTGCTACCGATCAACTCATACTTTTATGGTTTATATTTTCAAATCCATTTATACATTTTCCTTTAGTTTTATAATACTCAAAGTAAAAAACAAAACAAAAAACCCAATAATGTTCTTTATCCTAGTTTAATAGATAAGGAAATGAGTACTAAACTTCTAAAACTATAATTGCTGGGATCACAGGTCTGCACATATCACCAGGATTTCTCTATTTTTGTTTTCATTTGTTTGATTTTTGCTGTTTTTGCTTTTTGAGACAGGTTTTATTCTGTAGCCCTGGTGGACTTGATACTTGCTATGTAGCTCTGCTTGTCTTAAATTGTGGCAATCCTCCCTACTGAGATTACAGGTAAGCAATGATGACTATCTTCCTTTGTATTTTTGTTTACAAATAAAACTTACCTGAATAAAGGCAGATGTCTGAACATGTTCAACACAATTGCCATCAGGTGATACATACTGATAACCAGGGATCTAAAGAGTAAGTAAAGCATTGCTATTATAGGTTATACAATTTTTAAAAATCTGATGCCAAGAAAGCTTGTGATAAAATGGCAACAATAAAAAGTAGAACACTGAGCAGGGGGCACATGCCTTTAATGCCAGCACTCAGGAGGCAGAGGCAGACAGATCTGTGTAAGATCTCAGGGCTAGATGATGTGATTCTGTCTCAAAAGAATCAAACAAAAGCAAACAAGCAAGCAAACCCAAAAGAAAAACAACAAAACAAAAAACAAACAAACCAAAAAAAAACTGGAGATTTTACTTACTTTTTTTTTTTAGTTTTACTTTTATATCAACTGTCCCTAGAATATACTGATAAAACCATAATTGTAGGGGGAAAAAAATCTGTATTTTAGATTTGTGTTTTGTCTTTTGTTTTGTGAAACAGGGTTTTGATATGTAGCCCAAGCAGTCTGGAGTTAACGATGTACCTGGGCTGGTCTCATAGTTCTGATCCTCCTGCCTCAGCCTCCCCAGAACTGAAATTGCAGGTATATATCACCACACCTGGCTTCTAAGCCTAGTAGTATCAGTCAGTCTGTTACCAACATTACCTACCTACCATATATTTTTAAAAGTCAGCTTTTGAGGGTTTCCCTTCTACTCCTATCACCACCTAATATCAATCTCTAAGTTAAAAAAAAAAAAAAAAAAAAAAAAAGGATTTTTCTGTTACCCGTAAAAAACAATCAGAATCACTCATGTATTCTTAACAGACACTCTGACAATATACTATCATCTGCCTCATTTCTAAAACATCTGTAATAAGAATTGTACAACTATATTAGAATTTAGTGAGCACTAGTAAAATATATGATATGTTTGTAAAAAATCTGGTAATCAAATACAAATAAATATAATCTGTCTATATTGTGTAAGTCTACCTAAATCATTATCTAATGCAAAATCATTACACCTAACTCTAATCTAGAACTTAACTTTGATAATACTCAATTAGAATCATGTATCACTCAACTTGGTAACTCCAATAAATCAGAAGCTTATTTTTCTCAAACTTTTCAATGAAAATATGCTATAGTATTTCAAACCAAAGTATTTTTTTCTTCATGTCATACTTCTTAAGAAAAATTATAATTATCTTAATAGTTTACATTTTAAATATATAAAGCTTTCTAAATTATCAAATCAGAAGCAACTCTTAAAATATTAAAAAAAATTTATCTTTCCAACATATTCTGATTGAGATTGTCAAACAATCCCTTAGCAACAACTAATTTTTAATATTATCTTTCTATAAGTCAAAAAAACTTTGGTAATTTTTCTAAGACAGAAGCAGAACCTTGTAGTTTATGCTATTGAAATCCAGGACTCTGATGTTTAAAAAAAAAACAAAACATTAAAATCCTTAAAGTCAAGTGTCAACCGGTAACTACTCTACTGCCCCATGTTTTCCTATTTATAAACTAAGATGTCACTACTTTAAGTAGTCCAACCACACCATAGCCTCCAATGCCATCAGGATGCAAGAGGTGATGGAGAGGCAGGAGAGAAGAAGCAGAGATTTTGCTCTTTCGGGTGTGGGTTTTTTTGTTGTTGCTGTTGTTTTGGTTTAATGGATTTTTTCTTTTTTCTTTATTCCTTTTTTTTCTGTTCTTGCTTTTGTTTGCTTGCTTGCTTACTTTGTTTTGTTTTCTTTCATAGGGAGGAGATACAATAGGGATGAGGAGAGAATATGGGGGGACTGGGGAGAGAACAAACAGAACTGGGGTGCATGATGTGAAACCCCCAAACATCCAACAGATTTTTTTTTAAAGTATGTCTAACAAAACTTGGTGATGCCCATAAAAAGCAACATGAAATAAAACCCAAGGCTCAGAAGCAACCTTTTTAACACTATACCCAATTTTATCTTTTGTGAGATACTACTTGGTCCCAACAGTCTTAATATTTTATGAGAAAAAAAACTAAGAATTGCTCATCATAAACATGTAAGAGACAGACAGACAGGAAAAGATAAAGCAAGTCTTATGAAGACTCCTAAACAAATTTTTTACTATTTGAACTTGGGTTCTTAATGAAGGTTGAAATCACCCAAATAAAAAAAAAAAAAAGGAACAACATTAAAAATCAACTATTTACTGTTCCCCAAAGGAATGTTTAAATGTCTTACTATTTCTCCTTTAAATGTTTTATACACACCTGTGAGACAGGCAATATTACAATTAAACAGAACAATGTTTGAGGAGAAACTACAGTAGATGTGAAAGCACATCTTATGTCCATTGGACCATAACTACAAAGAATTAAAGAGTACTGCGATATACACATACTACATTTCTTAATGTGAAAATCACATATAAAAGGAAATTTTAAATGAAATTTGTACTGAAATATTTGTTAAATTTATGGCTTTCTTTTCCAGTTGAAAACTTAAATGTCTATCTGTGTCACTGCCCAATACAAATTTTACTTGTTTAAAAAAAACAAAATCCTTTCCCATAGAGCAACTAAAGACATGGTTTTTAAGTAATAAAGATATTAAAATTATGTGCCTGAACAGGTATGTAAAACTGATTCTGGGTTTGCAAATGGTCCATAGCCGCACAAGGTTTATGTTGAAGTTTTGATGAAGATCGCTCTGATTTTATTCCATCTTGTAAGTAGCCCTCCTGCTCTACTTTTCTTCGCATCGTAGAATTCCAATGATTTTTGATAGAATTATCAGTCCTAAGAAATAAAAGTATATCATTTTAAAAGGAAAAGGGATTCCACAAATATTAGCACTGTCTAACTTGAACAAAATACATAAAACACATGTTTGCAACTAGTAAAATAAGTATTTAGAAGGTCCCTGCTGTCACAGAGCCTAAATTCTTACTGAAAGCATGGCAACTGGGAAGACAAACAAAGAAATAGGAAAATTATCATTGCAGTGTGGATAACTAAAATAGGATGAGAAGAGAGTAAGTGGAGTCATCAGCCTGTAGTTTCAGTACTTGGGAGGCTGAGGTAGCAGGATAGAAACTCAAGGATAGTCTGGATAAGACAGCAAGAACCTGCTCAAAAATAAAAGCAGAAGAAAGAGCTTTCTGGATAAAAGGCATACACAGTACAAAAGCCTCACAGCATGAAAAGGGGGGGGGAACTACTAAAAAAAGTGTAGAGCTAGAGATATAGCTCAGTGGTAAAGTGCTTGCCTAGCAGTCTATCATAAATGAGATCCTGAGTACAATCCTCAATTCCATTTCAAAGAAAGAAAGAAAGAAAGAAAGAAAGAAAGAAAGAAAGAAAGAAAGAAAGAAAGAAAGAAAGAAAGAGAGAGAGACACACACACACACAGAGAGAGAGAGAGAGAAAGAAAGAAAGAAAGAAAGAAAGAAAGAAAGAAAGAAAGAAAGAAAGAAAGAAAAATACAAATTACAGATTGCAAATGAGTTCATCAGCTCCCTTTTTATCCAAGGTTCTTTTTATAAAGATGAACCTACAATAAATGGTCCCCAGGAATGGAAGTGGCATGAACTCCCGAACTAATTGGGGGCATGAGGGGCGGGGGGAGGAGCTGCTACAATAAGAGCAAGAGAAGAGGAGAAAAAAAAAAAAAGATGAACCTACAGCTATTTGTAGCCTAAGTTCCATTCTGCATAAAATAGACACTAGAAACCTACTCTGCTAAAGCACTAAGGCAAGTTCTACACAAAGAAAAAGGTGCTTAAAAACTGAATATATCAGAAGTTCACAGCCCAGAGTTAGTAACTTGGATAAAAGAACATGTAATACTGTGTCTTAATTTCCTATGAAACAAAGACATTAATGTTTCCATTTACATATTTCCAAAGTATACAAAGATGAAGAAGGAATACATATGAAAGCATATAAGTTACTATGAAGTACTACATAGAGATTACAGCTTTAGAGCATGTATATTCTGAGTGAGATAGGAAGTTGCCCAAGGTAGAGGTGGCCTGCTGTACTTGCTAGCAACTGTCAGAAAGTATCTGAGCAATACAATGAAGACAGTACTTAGCACATCACACCTTTGAGGAAAATGCTATACTTCAGTTACATGGACTGAAGTACTACTTTCACAGCTTAAAGTACATCATATTTAAGTACTGAATTTCCTTAACATACTTTCACCATCATTTATTTCAAGCAGTGTATTTGCAATCCCCTAGACTAGTGCACAGTACCTATTTGAAAGAGATCTCTAATTTAGATTTCACTTCACCAACTTGTACAAGGTTCTGCCTGACTGGCAATGATATGGAAATATGACTTGTAGAGTAAATGCTGTTTACATAACTTAAAGGTCTGAGGATTTTATTGCATAAATTAATCATATTCCTTACCACAGAATTTATTACAAATGGTCCCAAATAGTTGCTTGTATTATGCAGTCTAAATTTGAATTATAAATAAAAGAAAGGGGGTCCTTGCAAATATATTCAATAGTAAAGTAGTAAAGAACATGTTGAAGTGCAGAAAAACAATGTATATTCATCTATATAAGCACCTTCCAGGAAGCAATTTAGCAATTTCTGCCCAACGGTTTCCCAGCCGCTTATGTGCTTCATATATGATCCTGTCTTCTTCTTCTGTCCAAGAAGATTTCTTTACTTCAGGATTCAAGTGATTATGCCATCTCTCTCTGCACTGCTTGCCTATTCTTCCTTTTAAATGTTTTGCAATTAAAGACCATCTTTTTGGTCCATATTTCTGAACTAATTCAATAACCTAAGAAGCAAAAACAAAGGTTGAAAAATCATTACCATGAGAGAATTGGAAAATGTAGCTCAAGCATGTCAAGGCTGGGGTAGTCACAGAGCATTTGCTGAGTGTGCACAAGGCCCTAGGTTTGATCTGAAGCACCTCAGCAACAACAACAAAAAGGGGAAAACTCTAAATTAAGAATTCCATTTAAAATAAATACATTAAATTTCAGCTATAAATATAAATCACAAAAAGTAATTTTACTAATAGTTAATCCTTCAGCAAGTTCAAAAATCAATTCCCAATGAATCAAAAAATTCAAGGGGCTAATTAAAGTAACTCGTAAATTAAACCATTTTCATACAAAGTTAATGCAAAGTTAACTATAAAAATTTCAAGATTTGTCTTTTCTACTTTTACATCTCTAAAAAAAGAGAGAAACAAAGCTTCAACAAAAAGCCAACTAAGTCCATTAGGAAGCAGAAAAGATCTATAATTACTGGCTTTTCATTTCCTCCCTATTGAACTGAAAAAATACAGTTTGTATATATTTTTGTACATTTTAAATTTGTTTTTAGTTTACCTAAAATTTGAATAACAGTTTACCTCCTCGCCCTGCCTTACTTCACTGTTACTCTAACCCACTGTTAAATAACACATCATAATCATCCTGTATTGGTGGATTATTTAACATATATCAATATTTTCATGATAGGTATCTACTTGTCATATATGGAAAATAAGCCTTAAAGATTAAATGTGCAGTTATTGTTTTGTGGTTGTTTACCTGGTACTAGGTATGTTTAATAAGTGTTCTATCATCAAACTCTATTCCCAGTTCTTTTCTTGCTTTCTATTTTGAGACTGGATGTAACACGAAAAATAAAAGACCCAGAGACAGATATTGGGTTCAAAGCTGAGGGTCAGATAAGCAAAGCCCCAGCCACTAGCCCTTACCTCTACCTCAGATTGAAAGGGCTCAGATTGAAAGAGCTCCATGAGCTCTCCACAAAGCCTCCGACTGCTGACTCTCCTCCTCAGCATGGCTGGAGACTAAATCTCAGAATGCTGGGCTCCTGTCTTTTGTATACCTCTCTAGGGCTGGGATTAAAGCCATGAGCTCTAATTCTCTTTTGATTCAATCTTGTGTGCATCTGGGTGGCCTTGAACTCACAGAGAGATCCATCTACCTCTGTATCCTGAGTCCTGGGATTAACCGTGTGTGCCACCACTGCCTAAGTTCTACAGTTATCTAGTATGGCTGGCTTTGCTTTCTGATACTTCAGGCAATCTTTATTAAACCATAAATAATATATCACCACAATTCCCCCTTTTTTGTCTAATACAAAAAGAAGGCTATAACTAAAATAAGAAAAACTGTATACAATAAGTACAATTAGTATATATAATATATACAGGCAACAAGGTAGTCAACAATGTCTAGTCCATTTGCATTTGACAAATTCAGAGAAAATACTCCATTATCTATTCTATCTTAGTGAGTCCAAAGTCTTGTACTTAATTTACTTTCTATTCTAATTTTTATTATCAAATTATCTTTTAAAGTCTCTCAGCCTTTTACACTTTACACATCTTTACTGAATTTTTTTCTGAGCCTGTTAAACAATGAAAATTATAACTATACTGTCTAGTCGTCAACTCCCTCAGAGTAAACAGGAAGTGCAAGCAATCAAGTGAGTTCCAGGACAGCCAGGCTACACAGAGAAACCCCATCTTGAAAAACAAACAGTAAATAAATAAAATAAATCTTCTAAAAAATAATCTAATTCATCTAATACATAGTGAGCATAAAGAATATGAACATAGGGCAAGTGAATGGCTCAGCAGCTCTTGTCATTAAGCCTGATGAACTGAGTTTAATCCCTGAAGACTCAAATGGTGGACGGAAGGAGAGAACTAGCTCCTACAAATTATCCTTTGATCTCCACATATGAGCTGTAGCATGAGCATGTATGCACATACATGTGTCCAAACACATACACACAAATAAATACTTAAATTTTTTTTCAAAAGAACATGTTACCCTCTGGTCTTCTTCTTTAGTCCAAGGACCCTTTATCAATTCTGGGTTTAAAACCTTCTGCCATCGATGTTGGCATTGAAAATCAGAACGATTCTGAAAGAATTTGGACATTTTTATTACTGAATAAATGTCTCCCAGGAAGCAAATTAGTCAAAGAGGTTAAGTAACTTTTCTAAATTAACACAGCTGACATTTGAATGCAATTTCAACTAACTCCACAATATGTTTTCTTCCCCCATTATTTGATCTCAGTTTTCAGGTTACACTGAGAGATACTATGATATGGAAAAAACACAGGTAACATTGTTTCTAAAATCAAAGTAGGCAACACTGAAATTTAAAATACAGGTAACTTAATTACCCACAATGCTCTAAGAAACAAAAGAGTACATGCAAAACTACTTCTATATTTTATAAAATTTTATGCCAACAGATATGTGAATATTGGTATGATGAACAAGCATAATTTTTAAAAAATACAGAAATACCAGGTGTGGTACTGCACACCTTTAATCCCATCACTCAGGAGAAAGAGGCAAGCAGATATCTATCTATGAGTCCGAAGCCAGCCTGATTTATATGGTGAGTTCCAGGATAACTAGAAATACACAGTGACACTCCCATTTCAAAAAAAAATCAATAAAAAAGATTTAAAAACATGCATTAGATGATAAATCTAACAATTTTCTTTATTTTGTTGGTTATCTGTCAAATATCTTAATAGTAAAATTCTTTTGAAATATTTTAACATATACAACAGTTGAGGATATAGATTAATGGAAAAGTGTTTGCCTAAATGTACAAAACCCTAGGTTCAATTCCCAACATACAAAAAAAAAAATCACAAATATTTGTGAAGTCCCATACAAACCTAATGGCATTTTTGTTTTATAGTAGTTGTCTTTTTAGGCCCCTGGATAAATACTGTAAAGGTTGAGTATGCTTTATCCAAAATTCTTGAGACTAAAAATGTTTCAGATTTCAGGGTTTTTGAAATTTTCAAACATTTACATATATATAATGATACATCTTGAGACAGGACAGAAGTCTACAGATGAAACTCATTTATATACATAATCTAATAATTTTATACATCTTAAGTACACCTGGCATTTTTACTGTGACATATTACATTAAGTCAAGTGTAAAACATTCTACTGTAGCTCTACCTCAGTACTCAAAAAAGTTGTGAATTCTGAAGCACTTCAGATTTCAGGATTTGAGGTACTCAACCTGTACTAGAAAATTACTGTCTAAACCATTAGCAACAACTACAAACATATCAGAAAAAAGTTAACCAGATGTTTTAAGGAATGAAACCAAAACTGTACAAACACATTTCTGAAAAAGTAGAATGTGTAAACTAATGCCTTAAGTGAGTCATGTTATTACAGAAATACATGTCACATCTCACTTACTTGAAGATGACTAGCAATTAGAGTCCAATCATCAGTTCCATGTTGTTCAACCAACTTCTTTAACTTGTCATCCTATTAAGAGAGGCTGAAAAATTAAAACTCTTTCCCCACCTCTGGTATACAGATGATATTCTCATTCTCTCAAGTCATATTTGGTACTCACTTTGAGAAGAACTAAAGTCACTATTACACAAATTCCTCCATTTACTATACTAACTCAGTAAATCCTAAACAACCAGTTGTGTCATTGATTTGTTTTTTGTTTTTTTGTTTTGTTTTGGGAGTGGGTTGAGGCAGGGTTTCTCTATGGCTTTGGAGGCTGTCCTGGAACTAGCTCTTGTAGACCAGGCTGGTCTCAAACTCCCGAGTGCTGGGATTAAAAGTGTGCACCACCACCTCCCGGCTTGTTTTTTGGTTTTTGAGGGGTTTTTGTCAGTGTTGTTGTTTTAAGTCGTTTTGTTTTATGAGACAGCGTTTCTCTGTATAGCCCTGAAACTCACTCTGTAGACCAAGGTGACCTTGAACACAGAGATCCACCTGCCTCTTCCTCCCTGCATCACCACTGCCTTGCAATGTCATTGATTTTTTTTTCTTAAAAGCATGTACAAAAGCAGATAATTTGTCCTCACACTGTTTTTATTATAATACCATTCATAACTATAATAATATTAATTGATAAATATGAGATTAGTAAATTATGCCAGGTAACTACCTCATCTCTTGTCCATTTTACTCTGTTCCAGAGTTTTTTCAGTCCTTTTTGTTGAGGTACTTCATAATCATGATCAGCATATTGAAGGTCGTCATCCTCATCCTCACTACAAAAGAACATAATATGCAAGCTCAATTTTTTATTTAAATTATTTAATTCAAGCACTGAGTCTGTATATGAAGACATGACTAAAGAAGCCACTCAGAATGAACAATATAGTCTCAAAATTAATCAAAGTATAGAAAATTAACTCCTAAAGCGGAAGATGTAAACAGTACCCTATTGGAATTTGTGTGACATGAAAGCAAAAGGTACTATTTGGGGAAAGTAAGGAGACCTGTGAGGAAAGATAAGCAAAGGTAAATCAGCAAGCTACAGGTTCACTGAGAGACACTATCTCAAAAAATAAGAGTTTACTGAGGAAAACATCCAGATTGTGTTAAGGCCTCTAC